CTTGCAAGTGGTTGCCAAGCTAGCTACTGGTCCTGCTTCGCCTGTGTATCTCTGCTACGATCTCTGTTAAACACCCCAAGTTGGGAGAAACCTTATTCTTTTTGTTATTATTATTGTTAAGTTCAGAGCAATGTGCGGCCTGGCCTGTGTTGGATGGCTGACCAATCTTTTGTGTCAATTATATTTTATAGAAGCCTTAAATCACTTTACTAATAATCTTGCGTGCAAATTTGGTTACTGATTCTTGTATATTTTGTTTCTTAATTGTCTGAATGAACACCCAAGTTTTAAACCCCACTACTTTGGCTAAATATATCCTTTTTCTCCTCTTGACTCTGTCTTGAGCTGTAATATTTGTTTTGATTGAAAATTTTCTCTAAGTCCATTTAAATGTTACCTTACAGGAAATGGACTGACTGAGAAAGATCTAAAAGCTGAGTTGGAAAATGCAATAGCTGCATTGGATGATAGCCAAGCTGGAAAATCAGTAGAAATTTTGAGTCCAAGATGACAGTTGAATCTCAAGAAGATACAGAAGCTGCAAAATCTGCTATACTGGACAAGTTAGAGAACAAGAAAAAAGAACTGGTCTGATTCATATTTCCGCTGCTTGATATTCTTTGAACTGGTCTGATTCATATTTCCTCTGCTTGATATTCTTTTGTTTTTACTTTCCTTCTCTCCTTATTTCTTTAATATTTTCTTTTCTTATTTTGAGTGCTGAAAATCTTTTATTTTCTCAGTGTTCAGCGTAGGAGATTGTTCAAGACTTGGAGAAAAAGTGGGCACAGGTTCAAGAGAATGCACTAAAGCAGCCTTCTCCAGGTATGCCCGCCAACGGCAATGCTAATGCCAACGGCAATGCCGATGCCGAGTGGTTAGAAGGACCTGAAGTTGTCTAAGAAGGCTGAGGTTGCATCCCTCAATTTTTACTAAACAATTAGGCATTAGATATAAAATCTGATTCCTATAAATGAAATACGCGAACTATGTTTATAAATGAAATATCTAAAGCCCTAATTGTTTAGTAAAAATTGAGGATGCAACCTCAGCCTTCTTAGACAACTTTAGGTCCTTCTAACCGCTACGCGTCGGCATTGGCATTGGCGTTGGCGGGCATTTCTTTGAGTTTTCCGCAAAGTAGCATCGCCATAGCAATTATTGTTATCACTATTGCTATCAAGCTGTGATTTTCAAAATTACATGTTAGTTTTGAGGATATTTATTTCCAGGGTTAGTGGAAAACATGAAAAATAAACAATATAATGCATTTCACTGTAGCAATCGTACCATCTAGAATGCAAAACAGTATTTGCATTCATCTTTTCTTTAGCTTTTTTTCAACTAAATATAAATGAAATAACAAAATTGTCCTTCGAAAAATGTTCTCATTGTTCCAAAAATATTCTTACACTCCTCGGTTCCACCTTTAAAAGAGGGGTGACCCAATTACTACCATTAGCATGAGGACCATCGGACTAAATGCAGAAACAAATACTGGTTCCATTTTAGAAACAATTGTTGTATTCAGCCCAGACCCACAAACTCCCTACAAAACAAACCCTTTTCAGAAAATAAAAGATCACACAAATCAATTCTATTTTATTTTGATTTTTAAAGTAAGATCCCAAATTATTGATTATGTAAATATTACCCCAAAAAGTGCAGCCAAAAGTCTGATATCCCATCCCAGCTTCCGGTGGGTCCAATCCTTCTCCACACGTAGGGCATATATAGTAGCCTGAATTGCACCCATTACATTGATCAAAGACGGGGATTAGTAAAATGCTCTCGGTATCATCCTCAATCTTCTTCTGCAATCAAAGTGGAGGAGGAAGAACGCTATGATCATTAGTATGGTATTACAAAAAAAAAAAAAAAAAAAATGTGTAAGATCTCTCCGGTGCTCGCATAGGGCCCAGAGGGGTCGTGTACCCTATGAGGGGTTGATATTGGATCACGAGATGAGAACGACTCGAATTCTGAACCGATTTGAATTCGGTTCAAAAATTTTAAGCCATCCAAAAATGGACTTCGTACCTGTTCCATTTCAAGCCTTATGCTCGAGTATGAGCCAAAGTTAAAATGAACCCAAGTCCAACCAAATCTTTGAATGGTCTCATAAATCATAATATTATTCAAACAAAGTAGTATTAATTTACCAGAAGTATCAAGGAGATTGCATTACACAGATTGACCATTACAGCTAGACCTAATCCTAACACCAAATTGTGATTATCTTCCGTCTCATGTTTGACATGGGAGAGTAGGTCAAATTTGATCGACCCAATGTTGATTTTCATGCGGTGACAGAAAGTGAGGAGCACAACACCTACTGGACTCAATATGATCCCAATTATTTTTAATTTCCTAGCTAATGTTCTAAGTTCTAAAGTCTTTAACTTGCCAAAATAAATACATAAATAATAATATATAATAATAAAAAAAGAAAAAGAAAGACAATAAAGAATAAGTTTAAGATTATTAAGGACTCAAGAATTTTTGCAAGAATGAATGTGACAACAAGAGTAAGGTTGATGATAGTTGTGGCAAACGTTGCAAACGTAAAACGCAAGCTCTCTAAGAACAAATTATGATACAAAGGACCCCTAAAATTAATTTAATTAGAAAAATTGTTAGTTTGATGACAAATTACAAAAAGAAAGTAGTGTTGGCTAAAGAATAAAAACAAACATTAGAATTTATATAAAACTGATTCTAAAAATGTGCAAGTCCTATGGAGAGTTGTAGACTATTGATATGTATGATTTTACTTACCTAAACAACTCACACATAAATATAAGGCATATCCGTTCTATATCATATTGTGGGTGGTTCTCCTGCAATATTTAGACAAATATATCTATTTAGATGATAAAATAAAAAAACAATTGCTACGTCTTTTTCAAATTCCACGATAAATGCTTTAAGCCCTGCGTTGACAACCATCTAAATGAGAAGATTTGAAGTTCATCTACGTACTCCCCTTCAACACCGTATGAAGTATGAAGTCAAGTCACATAACTCATCCATCAACAACTCTCTCTCTTACACAACCCAACTCGATCTCTTCTCTCTCTACACCAGTAGCTCACATGAAACCCCAAAACAACTTATCCAAAACAAAAGATTAAATCCCTAATTAATTTCCAAATTTTGTTTATTATAAAGACAGAGAAAGAGTATGGAAGTTAGCTAGAAACCAAACAAAGCAAGCAATTAAAACGTTTCCAAATTTTGTTTATTATAAAGGGAGGAAAAAGAGTATCGAAGCTAGAAACCAAACAAACAAAGAAAGCTAAAATTGATTTAGTGTACCATGATTTGTAAATGGTCAAAGGAGCTAACAACATGGTTCCAAAGATGAATCGGTACTCGGTGAGAACGGAGGTTGACATGTCATTACTAGTCGTGAGTTTGTTGAATATGTTAACAATCACACAAAATATCGTTGCAAGCATGAGAACAACTACCTTCGCCATTGTAAGACTTTTCTCCTTCTGCAACTGCTTTGTCAAGCATAGTGTAACAAGTTTTTTTTAACAAATTTAAAGACTTAAAAGTTATTAAGTTGTGCTACCACTCAATTTATATATACTCAATAATTTTTCAATATGTGGGACGGTATTAATTATATATATAATTGGCTCCTGCAGATTCTTTTAACCACTACTACACTCAGCATTAGCAACAAAAAACAAAAAAAAAATGTGTTCCACTGCCGGGATTTGAACCCGGATTCTTTTAATGCTATAGAATTACCAAGGTGCTACAGTGGACCTTATTGTCAAATTAATGAAATTAATTATATTTAATAATAACTAATCACCATTAATATTTGATTTTGGGCAAGGCCCACACTGGAGATGATTTATATTGGGCCTCTAGAATATAAGGCAACTAGAAAAATATTCAATTGCCTGGAATTCAACCGGATTCTTTTAATCAACAATAATTACCAAGGTGCTACAGTATATATTGTGGTCAAAGTAATGAAATTAACTGTATTTAAAATATTTACTGATCACCATTATTCAATTCCAGAACGAAATGTAAAAAGTGATATGAGCGACGTTTTGTTGGGCTTCAATTCAAATGGTTGATTTTTATTGGGCCTAGAAAATTTAAAAAATAAAAATTATTTCAATTTTTTCCGGGATTTGAACCCTGATTCAAGCCAACACAAGAATTGCAAGGTGCTACAGTGGACTTTATTGTCATCATAATGAAATTAATTCTTTTTTATTTTATTTTATTTTTATTTTTATGACCATTAAAATTTGACTTTGGGCGGTCCACACTGACCCATTATTGAATTCGAGGGCTTGAAGATTTGAAATCATATGGCTAATTTCTATTGGGCCTAGAGAATACGAAACAAATTTTAGCCCAGAAATAAAATTGTTGCCTTTTCTAACTAAAAGTCAACTTCATTTTGTCAAAAGCAATTTAATTTCTGATTATAGTTTCTCAAAATGATTGAAAATATGACATTGAAATTGTAACATGAAACGCAACAACATAAAATAGTAGTAACATGAAAATAAGACCATTAATTGAAATTTATACTTTTGTAGGAATGGAGGGTCTGGTTGTTTGGAAGGGTTTAAAGAGTATGAGGTTTTCTGATACTCTTTGGTAATTTTGAATCTTCTTTGGATCTCCTTCAACATGATGAGCTAAACTGTAAGGACCGGGCAACCAATTTAATATTTTGTTATTTTATCATTCTTAGAATAATTTTACTTAAAATGTTGTTATTTTATTTTGTCATTCTTATTGAATAAATTTGTTGTGTTTATGTCGAAATGATTTAAACATATTTCATCGTGTTATTTTATATTCCCAACTTGAACTATTTAATAAAGCAGTAAATAAATAAATTATTTACTTATTCGTGCCATATTATTTATCGTGTATTTATGGTGTAATAATCTTGTTCGTATCAGAATTACTTAACATAAATAATAATAGAGTGTTGGTATTCAGCGATATAACATAATAATAACTCTCGCACGTGACCCGAATTGCCACCCTAAAATGCTGAATTGACGTAAGATTCCGATCCTGCAACGAAACCCGACTTGAGTTGATCGGAGGGGCAGTGACGATACATACATAAGCTCTGAATCTCTCACCGGAACCAATCTTTGATAATATTGTCTGACGAGAGAGAGAAATGGCAGGATTGCTAGCATGGGCAGCAGATGTAGTAGGAGGTGGTGGTCACATCAACGACGAAGACGAAGCCAATTCAATCCCTATATTTTTCACTCCCGATCAGCAGATTTACGTCAGGGGCTTGGATCAGAAAGCAGCTTCTCTCAGCCGTTCGATCCAAGATCTACGGCTCAGACTCCCTCCCTCTCACATCTCTCAGCGCCTCCCTCACCTCCACGCCCACTCCCTCGCCTCAAACGCCGCTCTCGCCCTCCAATTGAACTCTCACTCCGCCACCAGAGAACAGGTTTTCTTTAAATTCACACTCTTTCCCTATCTGGGTCTTCGATTCTCAATGCAATTATCCCTTTACACACATATATGTTGCTCAATTTATGTGGATCTTTGAATTTTGATCGCATTGTACCCTAGTGTGCTTACATGTATAGACCATGTTTTCTTCAAATTCACACTCTTTCTTATCTGGGTCTTTTAAACTATGCAATTATTCTTTTACAAACACACATTTTTTTTCTTCAAATTCCTCATATTCAGACTCTTTTCTTATCTGGGCCCGTGAAAGTTCATTTGATCATTCTCGATCATTCTCTTATAAGCACGTATATTTCATTAGAATATTGGGGATCTGAATTTTGATCACATTGTACTAGTGGATGTTTGCATATATAGAACAGGAATTCTTCATATTCACTATTTTCTTATCTAGGTATGTGAATGTTCATTTGAGTATTCTTGTATATGTTCATTTGAGCATTCTTTTATAGGCACATATACGTTATTAGTCATATGAGTTTTGCTCAAAAGTCTTGATGTTTTTTGCACCAAACCATATGGCTAGGCACAATTGAGAGCAATCACGCTGCAAGAAGAAAATGCTGCGTACGAAAAGGCTATATCAAATTGTGAGAATAAAATAGAGGAGAAGCTGCAGGAGGAAGATCAACTTCGGAGCAAATTAAAGGTTAGAGCAAATTTTCCGAAATTTGTTTCTTCATCCTTCTTTCGTATTTGTTATCTATTGGGAATGATATACTGTTAACCCAATATACTTTTAACCTTCTATATCCAAGCAAAATTGTCTAAAATGTGTCTGCATTTTACATTTAAAGGAATTCGATAGTTTTGATGCTGTGGTTTTCTGATTATGTTCAGAACTGGACTTTAGATAAAAGTAGAAGCTAAATTAAATTGATGTCCCAAGATATGTACAAGGCCATTAGCCTCATTTTTTTGGGGGTAATAAGCCATTGTGATATTGGAGCAGTGTATTCTCACAATAGGTTGGAAGCTAAAATTGATTGTAAATGACATATCATCTCTGAATTTAGCATCTAATCAATTGTGATTGCAAGTTAAAATTGGTTGATAATCTTATTTTACAATTTACACAATGGTCAATTTTTTTTTGTTGTTTAGAAAACATTAGTGCTGTAAATCCTAACTTTTGCTGTGAGAATCTTTCAACTTAAGTTGAGAGACAACATCTTGATAAGATAAAAAAATTTACCTTATTAAATTCTACATGAGACAGTTGAGTTTTGTATGGTGTTCAGAGAAAACATATTCTTTTATTTCTAGTATATTTTTATATATCACATGTATATTGGCTTACACCAATCTTTGACGTCCTTAATGGCTTAAAAATAACATGACAACTAGATTTTTAGCATCATAATTATTTTTGTTTAGATTCTTTAGAATGGGCCATTCCCATGAAAAGTTATGACTAGCAAGTGTGAGGAACTGAACTTTAGTCCCAGAGCAGTCATTTAGTGCAAAATAATGATAAAATGTTATTCTGTCTCTTGTATTTCCTTCGCAACACCCATGTAGGCGGGATCAACATTGGTTAATAGCCTTCAACTTTTTCTGTTTAGACTGAAAAATTTCTAACTTGGAACAGCAATTCTAGTTAAAAGAAAACTGGGAACTTACCATGACAAAGAGGTTAGATAGTTTTTATTTGAATAAACTCCAAACACAAAATTAAAACTAGAGTACAGTCCTTAATCAAATTAACTTTGACATGAAACAGCTCATATGTTCAAATAACCAGAATATCCTGAAAAATTAGGCAGTTCCAATATATCCATACTCAAGGAGCAAGAATTGTTCTAGTTCAGCAAGTTTGGTCTGATGAGGAACCAATTAGTATTGTTTTATTTTTTCTTCTCCTTTTTGGTTATTTAGAAATACATTTCAAATGTGCTGTAACTACAATTGGCTTCTGAGATGATTTTCCGAAATGTAAATGATAAAAAATAACAAAATAATGTGACAACATTGAATTTGGAACATAGTAAAGTGACAGCACAGTCTTTGACTGTGATATATCGATGGCTTGCTGAACGCTTGGAATTGCCGTGAAAGTAGTATTTCCTACAATTTTGTAACCTCTGTCTCCACATTGCTAATTGCTTCATAAAACGTTTAGCTTAATGGTAGTATCTAAAACTGAAATCAGATAGAAGAAAAGAGAATAAAATCATTAAGATTAATTCAATTCTAAAGCTTCAAGCTTGCAAGTGGTTGCCAAGCCAGCTACTGGTCCTGCTTCGCCTTTGCATCTCTGCTACAATCTCTGTTAAACACCCCGAGTTGGGAGAAACCTTATTCTTATTGTTATTATTATTTTTAAGTTCAGAGCAATGTGCGGCCTGGCCTGTGTTGGATGGCTGAACAATCTTTTGTGTCAATTATTTTTTATAGAAGCCTTAAATAACTTAACTAATAATCTTGCGTGCAAATTTGGTTACTGATTCTTTTATATTATGTTTCTCAATTGCCTGAATGAACACCCAAGTTTTAAACCCCACTACTTTGGCTAAATATATCCTTTTTCCCCACTTGACTCTGTCTGAGCTGTAATCATTGTTTGATTGATAATTTTCTCTATAAATAAATGTTACCTTACAGGAAATGGACTTGACTGAGAAAGATCTAAAAGCTGAGTTGGAAAATGCAAAAGCTGCATTGGATGATTGTCAAGCTGGAAAATCTGGAGAATTTTTATGTGAGTCCAAGATGACAGTTGAATCTCAAGAAGATACAGAAGCTTCAAAATCTGCTATACTGGACAAGTTAGAGAACAAGAAAAAAGAACTGGTCTGATTCATATTTCCTCTGCTTGATATTCTTTTGTTTTTACTTTCCTTCTTTCCTTATTTCTTTAATATTTTCGATTCTTATTTTTAGTGCTGACAATCTTTTATTTTCAGTGTTCAGCGGAGGAGATTGTTCAAGACTTGGAGAAAAAGTGGGCACAGGTTCAGGAGAATGCACTAAAGCAGCCTTCTCCAGGTATCTTACATCATCTATTTATACACCCTTTTTTTTTTTTTTTTGAATTATACGTGTTTATATTTTGAACTACCAGTTTATATATGACGGTATCTCCTATTAACTTCGTTTTTTTAACAATTTTTCTGGTAACATTCCCTTTCATTATCATTGTTCAATGAACGTGGACGTGGATATGTGATGCATATTGGATACAATATGGATGGCCTGACATGCAAAAAAATTTAAAAGCAGGACAAAGACACAGCACAGATGCCTTCTTCCTTTCTGTTACTTTTTATTTTTTTTATTATTATTATTTTTTTTCACACTTCTCCTCTCCTCTCCTCTCATATCATATTTTCTTTACAGTAATGTGTTCTCTCTTACTGAAAAAAGAATACCCATGTCTTGGCACCACTTGTTCAAATTGTGTCAACAGCTTGTAGGCTAAGTTTTCCATGTAAGTTTTACAATTCTAGACAGGCTATGGGCACGTCCAACACGTGGTCAAAGGATTTTTAAGCTAAAGATGGTGTATAACATGGACAATGTGCATCATGCACATGGCTCCTTTTTGGATGTCTCATCTTATAAGATCGGAATGGGTATCAATTTTATAGTTAGGATGTAGTTGCTGCTATTTCTTTGAACAATCTAGCCTTACTTGAGGAAGAAAATGACAGCCTTTAGTGGATATTGAAATAATTTCAGGAAGAACAGTGCAATTGTAAGATTATCTTCAAGGGACTGATTGCTATTTATAGATTATCATTACCTCTATTAGTCGTAGCAATAATCAGGAAATAGTTTGTGAATGACTCTAATTTTTGAGAAAAAGAAATGTGCTTTAATTAATCTTAGTTGCTTCTTAATGCTGAAAGCATGGTTGCAAACTATTAGAAGCACAAACCTCAAAAAGATCTGTTAAAACAAGAGTGAGTTGTGCATTTCTGAATCCATTTCCTTTACATCTTCGTATGTAGTGATCCGGATCACTGAAGTGCACTTTCAGGAAGCAGAACTCCCACCTCCTATATGTTCTCCCAGTGACTCTATTTTGTTGTTTTATCGCGTTGAAACCTCTCATAGCCCTATACTGTTTTTCTGTATTTATTATGTAATATGAAAACTTTTGAACCTATTGTTTCCTGCTTGATTTTTGTGAAGTAAGACTACATTATATCATTTGCAATAATAGTGGGTTTTTATTTATTTTTTATTTTTTATTTTTTTTATTTTTTACTTTGGGAGTATTATGTTTTGATTTCTTGCTTATATTTATAGTTCAGAGAGAGAAAATATTGGACAAACAACTCCACAGCCTAATTGAACAACTAGCTGCAAAACAGGTTTGATGCTCATTTATTTCTATATTATTTTGACATTTTGCCATTATATTAAAGGGTTTATCTTTTAGAAACATATTTTTATTTTTGTCATTGCTTGTATGTAGGCCCAAGCAGAAGGTCTGGTCAGTGAAATCCATCTGAAGGAGATGGAGCTGGAAAGATTAAATGGGCTGTGCAAGAGGGTCGAAACCAACAATGCTGAGGGGAATGCTGCTAGGAACCGGTTCGGAAGAAGCAACTCTGAGAGGGGTTCGTTTTCCTCAGATTTCATCGTTGACCCTCATCACAAACTTCCTTATCACATGGGTGGTCGAACTGAGAGCCAGCAGAGGCTCATGCTGCTCAGGTCGGCTTTTGTGCTCTACATTTTAGCTCTGCACATCTTAGTCTTCATGAAGCTTTCATTCTCATAGATCTTCCCGAATATACTTTTTTCTGTCAAATTTTCTAAAATTTTGTTGCTGTGCTCAGCCGGATACCTATTTTTGTTGTATCTTACTCCAGGTTGTACAAAAACATGTCGTGTATATTTAATGAAATTTTAATTTTTGTATGGCTTTTCAATTCAAGTTCTTCTAATTGTGAGATAAATTTCTGTTTTGCTGCTTATCGACAGTATCTCCTTTAAACAACGAACTCCAAAATCTTGCTACTGAATTATTGTGCTCTGGAAAACCATTTCTATTCCCTCTGTAAGCTGTAACTAGGTTGCCACTTAGACTAGAGCTGTTCCCTTTTGCTTTTGCTTGGTGCCTTTTGCTCTCTTCCACCTAACGGTTTCTTCAGCTTTACGTAACTGATTCAACCTCTAGATTACTATCCTTCCAACGGTTATTTTGATTTAGCAGTAAAAATGCTGCCCTTGAGAATCAAATGTAGACAGGATCAAAACAACTGACAAAAAGAGAACAATGATCTGACTGGACAATTCATCGATCCAACTTTCTGCTCTAAACCAGCAGATGTAACCACATTCCTCCGAACGTTTCTTGTACTATATCATCATCCATCTTCCTTGGTTCTCTTATATCGTCAATGAAGAAGAATTACATTAAAAAATTTAATCATGCAAAGATATCTTTCTTCTTTTTTTGAAATCTGTATAAATAAAAACAATGTAGGTACACCTTCACAAGTTAAATACAAAAAGGAATAATTAATTTGCTCATCTGAAATCAGTCTGATTTCCGCTAAGCATTCACTGAAGCTTCCTTATTGATCCTCCACTTTCCATCTTCAACATTTGAAGCAAAAATTCATTCCACGTGTCGACGGGGCCCGGCATGCACCAGTGGACACAGTCGGGTATAGTCTTATTCTCTTGTGGCGAATGCCCATAATGATTTGGATGTCCATCTGGCCTTAGCACCATTGCTTCACTAATATCTAGCGTCCTGAATCTGAGGCCCCTCTTTTTTCCTTCCTTTTCTGCTGCTCTTAGCTCCTCCACCTGCGTCTTGTACAACTCCAAACTGTACCCATCGAACTTCATTTCTTGCTTCGTAAACGGCCTCGTTCTCACACAATTCCCTCCTTTATTCCAGTCCCCATTCTCAAAGTGTGACGGTGAGAATGTCCTCAGAAATGTCAGTCCCGTGAAGTTCTGAAGGTTTAGAAGCGCCCTAAAGGCTGTACGGAAAGCCATTTTATATCCGTAGTAAAATGTAAGGTCCGTCACATTCTCTTTCTGGCACTTGTGGCATCCCACAACTTTACCATTCTCATAGTACATGAATGGTCGAAAGAACCATTGCCCGGCTGAGATGATCACTATATCGGCCTTCTCAACCTGAGTCGTCCACGCCTCATCAGCCTCGTCTAAGTATAGGCTCATGAGGCTGTCTTGGGAAAAACCGTTAGGGTCGGCTTCACGGGATTTGACCAGGAGTGGAGACCAGAGTGCTGCTATGGTAAAATTGTAATCGGCGTAGAGCCAGCGTCTGAATCTTGTGTCTGATACATAAGAAACATCTATGGGAGTGGCTGACTGATAAATTACATATAGTTGAGTTCAGTTGGGTGATAAGAGTGACTATAACTATAAGTTTGAAAGTAAAACAACTTATTTAACTAGGTTCTGTTCCATGAAATCATGTGCATCTACCATTAAAACATTGATTACTAATGTAGTAACAGATATTTTTTAAAATGTTAGAATTTTTTTGTTTTATTTTTCCTTGTGTATATGGGTAGTTTAGTCTTTCCCTTGTATATGACATATGTACATGAGATGATGTGCTAGAACTTCAGTTTTTATTTTATTTTATTTTATAGAGAGTTGTTAGAAGAGACGAGCTGTTATGAAGAATCAAATTATTTTTTAATACATATTGTCACAACAAAATTATACATCATACTGATGTTAGGAGGAGACAAAGGTCAAGATTGTAAGGAGACATATGACCTAACCAATCTTCTAATAAAAGATTTAATTAGAATATTTATTTAAAGACTATCCAGAACCAACTTGAGATGAAGTGTTAGAAATTTATAAAAAAAATTAATATCAGGGCTGATAAATTGTAAGAGAATAAAATAAAAAAACAAAATTTAGGTGATGATTTTTGACAAGATAAAATGATTTATTTATTTCACAATAGGATATGGTATAAAGATTTTAATTACCTCTGTCACATACATATCAAAGTGTATCTATGCGTTTATATTTCTATATGTGTATATATATCTATCAACCATCACTATATTCAATAGTTGGGAACAATTTTTTGTTGAGTTGATCATCAACCGAGCATGGCAAACTTATTAATAAAGCAAATGAATACATTATACATGCTATGATGAGTTATTGAGCACTTACACTAGCCAAGAGGCACACTAATGATTGCATTTGGTTCCTTCCTACTGAGTCTCCCAGAAATGCCAGAGTCTTCCCTCTGACCAGCTCCAAGAAGTGCACTCCGTCAAACATAGGTAGATCACATTCATCTGGTTGCCACCTCCATTTCAAGAACTCGGTGTCCGGCCTCCCGAACTTCAGACAATTCTGTCGATCGTCGATGGAACACTGTGTCTCATTCGTGTAGTAAGGTAATCCATCCGGATATGGCACCCAATTCCCGCTAAATATGTTGCATTTGTGCTCTAAGCTTATACTCTTCGAATCGTTGGAAGCTTCCCCAGGAGACTGCAATGACGAGAATGCGTTGCTCTCCTGATAGAAAAGGCTTGTACCATTGTCACGAACCTCTAGAGAATCGTTGGAAGTTTCCCCTGGAGACTGCAATGGCGAGAACGCGTTGCTCTCCTGATAGAAAGGGCTTGTACCATTGTCACGGACCTGTAGAGACCGCAACAACGAATATGAGTTTTTATGCAGATAGGTGGGGATTGAGGTGATGAGAATCAAGGTTATGATTGGTATGACACACCTTTTGATGCTGTTGAGGGGTGTGTTCTTCCCACTGGGAAACTCTGTAGCACTGCGCTTCATTTGAGAAGTTGAGAATAATATGAATGGAGCAACGTCACTTTGGGTTAATATCTATATATATATATATATATAGATATAGATATAGATATATAGATTCAGAATGGTATTGTGCAATGTATAGTGGTGAAGTATATAAGCCAAAGTTGTATCATTGCATTTTAGATGTCTCTTTTTATGGTTAATTTTGAGTGTAGCTGGCTAACATAATAGTTATTAAGGACAAACGGGAAAATATAATAATAACTCTCATCTTTTCATATCCACCATTTATTAAAGGTATTTGTTATTGAAAGTTGATCAATATTTTAAGGATATTAGCTGGATAAATATACGAAAATTATCTGTCTACAATGATTTGCACATGATACTAAGGTTAATTATATACCGCGTGAATAATTTTTGTTGCCTCAGAAGATTAAAATTTGTTAAAGTTCAACAATAAGAAGAGACTGGTCTATTGAAATTATTTCCAAGTCATCATCTTTGTTACAGTAATTGTTTATGGATTTTAAGAGAAGCTGGATAATACTTATCTATTTACTAGCGAGTAAGTGGTATACTGATGCTGGTGTGGTCCAATTATAAATACATACATAACTTATAATTATAAAAATTATGAAAGTAATAAATACGGTAGGTGGCTGAATTTATTTTTAAAAAGTTATATATTTTTTTATTTATTACTTTCTTGATTTTGTAATTACATATTACTTGTGTATTTATGATTGAACCACATCAAAGATAACTAGAAATCACCTACTCATAGTATTAATTAATATTTTAACAACCACATATGTATATGTATAAGTAGATTATTGTCGGTTTAAGAAGCTTTGCTATTATTTATTAATTAATCTTTTTTGCAACCATGTATATAAGCGTTGCCCGAGACTTCGAGTCATCTTTGTTAATTGTTTATTAATTTCTAGGAGAAGCTTTGCTATCATTATTGATTAACTAGTCTTTTTAACAACCATATATGTATATGTATATGTATATGTATATGTATAAGTAGGGTATTGTCGGTGTCCAATTGGGCTATAATGGTGACAATCTCACAACTCATATTTGTTAAAAATTTGAGAAAATTTGGCAGTTTTATGCAATAAGAATACTTTTGAAAGAGTGGGATAAAAGCTTATTTCCAAATTAAGCATTACATATACTCCTTAACAAATGAACAAAATATGCACCATTCAAATTCATGTGAAACACATCTTTTGGCTAATGACAAAATGATCTGCTGAGATGTCGACTTCATAAGTCGTAATGAAGACCCCATTTCCCAAATGAAAAGCAGAGGCAGAATAGGTTTCACTTCTCAATTATATTGGGAGGGTTTCTATCTGGAGTTTGGATCTTCTGCAGTACAACATGTGTGTGTTGTACCGTTTGGTTCTGCAGTGGACGGTCAGAATCGTTCACACGTGTGACGGTTCTACACGTGTGAATGATCTGACCATTCATGCCGTAACAGTAGAGAATTCCAACTCTCGTCTTTGATCATCGATCAACATTTTCTATGCAATTGATGACTATTGTGTGCATCAATCGTGTAGGGCCACTTCATGTCTTTATCCGCGCAACGTGTCGTAAGGAGAGAGTGATTGGTGGTTATAGTGCTAAGTACCCTGGCGTAGCTTGGTGGCAAAGTAGCTGATGATTGCTAGGCTTTGCCATCTCTTTTATAAAGTCCACTTTTGGGGGCAGTGCATGGGGGTTTTCATGTGGGAAATAAAGGGCTAGGGCTTATTTGCAGTGTGAGACTATTTTTCATCATTGCCCAATGAAGCTATAGCATGCCATGTTATAGCTGAATTGGCCCATTGGTGATGAACTTTCTAAATCCTTTCTTGTTAAGAAATGTCACATGGTTGATAATATGCACTCCCTCCCTTCAATGGAATTTGAGTGAGAGAGAAGCTTCAAATTGTTCAATCAAATTATTTATGGTATGCTTGGTTTATTGAAGGAAGGAGCAAGGTAATTGAACCCTAGTCTTTCAAAATCTAAGCTGTGTATCAATTTATATTTTTGCTTATAGATAGTTGTTTGATTCTAATTATCTATAATAATATAAGTTTGTCAATTATTTGAGCAAGGTAATGTCAAA